AATCTTTCTATACACACAAGCTGGCCATGACTTTTCTCAATCTGGATGATGAAAAATGCTCAGTTCCCCCATCCATGCTAAACAGTGTGGCTGGGAGAATCTCCCCTGCCGGCTATTATACTCTGACAGCTGGTGCTGAGGCTGTCAGTAGGAATTGCCCAAAATCCAATCCATGTATTTTAAGCTTTACTTATTTGTTCTCTCTAAAGAATTACTCCAGGAATTTTTTTATTAACCCTTGTAGTAAGGCTACCCCCCACACTGGAAGGGTTAAGTGCTTGTTTTTGTCTCGTTAAAAAAAAAGTTATACTCACCTGTTACTCTGAGACGGATTCTTATTTTTACACCGGTGCTTTCACCATCTCTCTCCCTCCCCTGCAGTGGTCTAAGATCCCATAAATCACCACATCTATACACTGTGTATAGACATGAGGGCACTGAGGAAAATTCCAATGCTGCAGGGAAGGTGAGACAGGCTGGAGGAAGCTCTGTGACAGCTGGCTGGCTCAGAGCTTCGGATGAGTATAGTTTTGCTATTTTGGTCCCTAGACACAAACGAGCACTTTACCCCTGCAGTGCGTGGGTAGCTTCATTGCAAGGGCTAACAAAAAGTTTTCCTGGAGTTCTTCTTTAAAAAGTGTTCTGGAAGCAGCTTTTCTTTCAGTATATAACACCTAGCTAATTGTTTCTACTTTTGCCAGCCTCCTTCTCAATACCGTTATCTGTTCTGCAACTCTAACATTTGTAGGAAACATTCACCAACACCTAGATTTCTTCAGAAAAGTATGGTTTTAACTTAGGAGTTATGCCACTTTGCGGCTCCATATTTCCTTGGAATTAGGGGAAAAAGGTGATATATATATCTGACAATCCAGTCAGGCTCACACATGTTTGAACAACTCAAATAACAGAACAATGCATTGTTTTCCAGTTGTGTTGTTATTCTGGGCTCTATGACCAGAAATCAGCAGAGGTACATTAAATACTGGACAATATGAGTTAATATGACTATAAAAACTGTAAGTTTTTAAAACAGTTGTATGGAATCATATGGCAATTGGACAGCTAAAAATAAATACAATATGAGATATCAGAGTATCAAATATATAAAATATAGAATAGAATAGAACAGAACAGAATGGAATAGTATTAGTGATGGAAAATTAAGCAGGGAAGTCTGAGTTTTGTAACTTTGGCATTGTCGGTAACCCTTTTACACATAATATATTAGTTACTATCTGATGGAGTTTTAGCTTTAAGAGCTGTAAAGTAGAAAGTAAAACTCTGCAAAAATCATTCTTTATCTTATTATTACATAAGGGAGTTAGCTGCAAAAGACATGTTACCGATATGATTTGCAGCTCCTCCCAACTTTACCACCAAAGGAACATTGCAGATACATTAATTCAGAATGCATCAAGTGCATTATTTGTACCATAACTACTTACCTGTTCCCATGACGCAAATTTTATTTTCTAATAAAGCCTTTCTCAACAAGGGCGCTGCGGTCCTTGGGGTGCCTTCTGGAATTTTGTCAGGGGTTCCTTTAAATTTCTCCTAAAGGGAGGCTTCTGATGTGAAAGGGCTCCTGAAATGAAAGGGCAGGGCTCTGACGTGAGGATGACGACTGAACATTATCTTATTTTTGTTGCCTGGGCTGTTCCTTTAGAATCCATACCAGACCCTTTCTAGGTTTTTTTATTTTTTAAATTTACACTTTTTAAATTTTAGATTGGGGCGCCTCGAGATTATTTTTATTATTATTATACAGGATTTATATAGAGCCAACAGTTTGCGCAGCGCTTTACAATATAAGGAAGAAATTACAATCACAATACAATTCAAGACAAGGTGGTAAGGAGGGCCCTGTCCGTGAGGGCTTACAATCTAAAAGGGAAGTGATACATGAGGAGGTAGCTGTGTGGGGAAGAATTGTTTGAGAAAGTGATAGTTCAGTGGTTAGTTTGAGGTGGGATAGGCTTCCCTGAAGAGATGAATCTTAAGGGAATGCCTAAAGGCAGTCAGAGTGGGAGATAGTCGGACAGGTTGGGGTAAAGAGTTCCAAAGGATGGGAGAGACTCTAGAGAAGTCCTGGAGGCGAGCACGGGAAGAGTTGATGAGGGAGCTGGAAAGCAGGAGGTCTTTGGTAGAGCGGAGGGGACGGATAGGGTGATACTTTGAGACAAGGTTGCAGATATAGCCAGGGGCAGAGTTGGCGATGGCTTTGTAAGTCGTTGTTAATATTTTGAATTTTATCCTTTGGGCTATTGGAGCCATTTAGCATACTTTTAAAAGGTGCCATGACTGAGAAAGGTTGAAAAACACTGGTCTAATACACAGTCTTCTCTGCAAGCAAGATATTCATTTTGTTGCATTAGAGCACAGATTCTGTTACAAATTTTGTTACACAAAATACATTTTAAAGGAAAATCCAACTCCGCTATGTTACAACGTGGAAAACGCTTTTGAGTAACAGAAGATGATGTGTGTTATATTTATCATAATACAGGATTTATATAGCGCGAACAATCACAATTACAAGGTAAATGGAGACAATACAGGAGGATTAGTAGGGCCTGCTCATAAGAACTTGCAATATAAAAGGGAGCGCCAAGTGATACTAGAGGTAATAACTGTTACCAATATTGCATATGGCAACATCAGCAATAAACTTTTTACAGTAAACTCCATAACAAAGACTAGAAGCCACCACTTAAAATTGCTGGAGAAGAGATGTAACCACAAAGGGCATAAGGGATTTTTTTCAGTTAGAACGGTTACATTTTGGAGCTCAAAATGCTGATACCACTGCCACAAGCATTGGTAACAGAAGAGAGTATTGAATCATTCAAAAAGCATTTAGATACCTTCCTCAGTGACCATAACATAGAGGGGTACAGGTACTCTTAAAAATTAGACCACACAGGGACCTGTGTACACACACACACACACACACACACACACACACACACATGCACAATCACAGACACACAAAGGTTGAGCTTGATTATTATTATTACTATTATACAGGATATATATAGCGCCATCAGTTTGCACAGCGCTTTACAATATAAGGAAGACATTACAATCACAATACAAATCAAGACAAGATGGTAAGGAGGGCCCTGCCCCTGAGGGCTTACAATCTAAAAGGGAGGGACAAGCGACACTTGAGGAGGTAGCTGTGTTAGTTTGAGGTGGGATAGGCTTCCCCGAAGAGATGAGTCTTAAAGGATGGACCTGTGTCTTTATTCAACCTCACAGCTCTATAGCATGACTGTGAATCTGTACCTAACCTACAACTAGTGCTAGTGTACCCAAAGAACAAAAAGTCAGTGAGTTGCATATACTTTCAACACATAGCTACAGTACATGAAGTCAATGAGAGCGGCTTATTCATGTGAAAGTGAGTTTCTTTATTTTCATACATGCTGGTAACATTATGTTGGCAGCAGATGATACATATAGCAGTCACATTTACGAAAAGAGCCAGATACAGTAACATGTCCCCTAATATATGTCTTTTTGGCTGCAGAGTTTCTAACACCAGGAATAAAGTTGACTGTAGACTTAAAAGGGTGGTGCATTATCTAACCATCCTTAGTGCAAGCAGTTGTCCAAGTCTTCCATAGTTTTGTAAAGCCAAGAGGCTTATAAGAACCTCTCAAAATTATTGTTTTACTCCAAGAATGGCTACCTGTTGGGGTAAATGGTACAATGCAGACATGCAGCATTTTTCTGAAGTGCACTGGATGCCATCAGAGATCACCACACCGCAGTGTAATTTGAAGTACTGCCTTGCACAGACATGAATTGTGTGTACACTTTGGGAACTCAAAATAAAGTTAATAAAAGAAACAAAAAAAGTAAGCAGTGTCTTGAGTTGTAACAACACAAGGCACCATGGCTCACCCCTCCCATCTAGCCACATGGTAAAACAATGCTTATCACCTTGCAGCTAGTGTAAACGAGCCCTAAAAGGGATGATCCTGGCACAGAATTATGGGCACTAAAGATTGTGTGTCTACAGGCTCTAAAGAAAGAACTAAAGATTTACGAGTCAAAGATCTCCCTTCCCCATTGTATTTCATGGTTAGCAATGCGTTAGACTGTGAGTAGCACAAATGATCGAATTTGTATGACTTTCCCAGTTCAGTTTATAGTGATTAAGCATATGCATTGCTTAGTTTTTTAGTCTTGTAGATTACGCAACCTCCCACCTTCCCAGGCCTAGGTCCAGGACTTCTTCCTATGAGAAGCCCTCATACTTTAGTGTGCCTCTTACAAAGCCCCCTCCAGAGCTCATTACACCTTAATTGTTTGACACTATGGTTCATTCTTATACCCTCATATACCAATTAGACACTCCAATCTAATAGTTCATAAAATGTAGTTGCAGAGATAAAAGGAGCTGCAAAGCTAAACGAGGTTGCTCTGATGTCCTTGGATGGGAGAACATTCAGAAGATGTATAGGGCTTGCAGGACAATTCCAGCTCTGCCTTGATATAACTCTCATAATAAACTGTATTTTATCCAACAATTTTCACTTACACAAAATATTTTAAAATATGACTTTGCAGACAGACATTGATTAAGCACAGTGTTTACACTTTAAAATGGTTTAAACCCAACCAAGGTTTTTCCCAAATGATGCTTGGTGCTGGCTCACCATTAATAGACCTGTTGGCAATCTCCTTGGCATCATCATGGTGTAGGTCTAAGCTTCAACAGTTCTACACAGTGGCAGTGCAAATCTCTGCTTTGTAAGCAGTTTGTTTGTTATAACTACCTGGAAGCCCAAGGGCAGTGTTTCCTGTCATTTACACAGCACTCAGAATTTTTATAGTATTACTTAACTGAAGTTGTGTCACTTTCTTGGCTCGGAGTCATGATTTGTTGCGGTAATTAAGAAAGACTAGCATGACTCATATTGTTATGAGACATGGATGGCCTATATAAAGACAAGCCGTGCTGTCTGGGATCAGCACAGAACCTTAGATTGAGGAAACATCCCATTCAGCACAATGACAAGTCTTCTTCTCCTCCTCCTGGCTTGTGCAGCTTTGGCTGCTGCCTTCCCTGCTGCGCCGCAAGATGACCTAGAAAGCAGATATGCAGAGTTGGCACAGGTAATATTTCCTTCTTAGAATGCTGATCTAGTAGACACGCTAGGGATATAGTAACTGAAATAACTCTGAATAACTCTGAATTGGCTACTGTTTTCCTTGCATTTGCTTTCTTAGTTTTTTTGATAGAATAGAAAAGGGTTACAACCTTTGTTAAAGCTCATCTCATCGAAAACAACAAACACCCTTGTAGTGGGGCTACCCCCCTCTCTGCAAGGTTTAAGTGCTTGTTTTGCCTAGGGGACACTATTACATCTGATTTACGTCCCTAATACTCTGTCCCACCAGTTACCTCCAGGCTGTTAGGTCCCTGTAACCTCTTCTCCTCTTCGCTCCGGTGGTCTTTGGACCGCTGATGTCATCAAGTCTTATGCAGGTCCATTGACCCACAATTGGTGTGAGGGCACCGAAGGACACTCCACAGTCGGAGTGGAGAGGGAAGAAGAGGGGAACACTGACTGCTGCAGAAGCTGGAATCAGGTTAGTAAAAGAGCTTTATCTGAGTCCTCTAGAAAAAATGAGCACTTAACCCTTGCAGTGCAGGGGTAGCTCCACTGTAAGGGTAAGTTGTTTCTTTCCCCGGAGATGGGTTTTTATTGATGTCTATGTCCCCATTGGGTAGACTAACCCTCACACTGACTATTGGCAGCTGGATTTCACAGCTGTCACCAGAGCAGGAGGTGAGAGTAAATCTTCCAATGGGGACACCTTTTCCTGTGACAACTGTCCAGTAGAGGAATTCCCCTCTGTTAGACTAAGAAAAAATATGTTGGTTATATAGACACTAGTGACAAAAATGCAAGGGGTTTGTACAATATTTAATATTTATAATGTTTTTTGAAGGAAAAAAGGGAAAGGTAAAAGGAACAAAGACAATAGGACATCACAGAAAATGTTTGTCCCCAATGCAAAAATGTATTCCACTGAGCCAGTCATGCAGAGATATCAGGAAACATTTGGAGCAGCATATTTTATTTATAATGATAGAGAATCAGGATGCGTGGGTGTTTTGTATGGTAAAAAACATTTCAGAAGTTATATAATTTTTCACATGGTTAATCACTATCTAATTATATGAGTGAGCAACTATAAAATGCCTACAGCAAACCTAAAGCTGAACTCAAGGCTGATATGAAAGACACAAATTAATGCAGCAATGTATTCATTCAAATATTATTAAATGCATTTTCTTGAAATGCAAGCAGTGTAAGTAGTACTGAATATGACCTGGTATCAGCTTCCTGCAGTCCCTATACAGCAGAGCTCAGATTAGAAGAGGGAGAAGCAGCCCAAAGAGCCAGTGAGTTCATGTGCTGGAAAGGAGCATCCTGATTGGAGGAGTAAGCATAATGACAGAGAGTTGAGATTGTCAGTGCGCTGCTTTTCCATCACTGTCTCAGCCTAATAAGCAGAGAAAGAAAATGAGGTCTCCAGCCTTGTAAACTCAGAACTGGGCACAAGTACAAATCCTTCAGGGAGTAACAGCTCCATTTCATCTATGTGTTTAACTGTTTGCCTGGAGCTCAGCTTTAACAATATATACCATATAACGTTTAACAATACAGTATATTAGAACACGTGAAGTTTGAATCTACAGTACATTCACAAAATACTCATGCGAAACAGTAAAATCCATTTATTATACAGTATATACACAATACATTCAGATTATTGATCATATCAAATATTGATAGGAAATAATGCACAGCAAACAAACAACAATAAATAAAGCTTCCACAGAATCACACATGACATCAGGATTCCACACATCATCACCCTTCTTGTCTGTATTGTTTTATTACGAATATAGAAGATAAATCAATGCTGCCTTTAGTTACTTCAATGTCCTCTATTTATAATAATATTTTTATTTCAATACAATAGAGCCATTTATGTATTTATTTATGTATTTAAATTTTCAGAAATATCTGGAAAAGTATTATGACATGAAAACCACTGGTGGCAAAGTTGGCAGGAAAAAGGTCAATAATCCCTTCACTGAAAAGCTCCAAGAAATGCAGAAGTTTTTCGGCCTGAATGTAACTGGAAAACTGGATGATAAGACTGTGGAGATGATGCAGAAACCCCGCTGTGGAGTCCATGACATCGGCCAGTACACAGCAGTCCCCAAAAGCATTGCCTGGCAAAAGACAGACCTGACCTACAAGTAAATATCTCACTCTATCATTGATTTATGTAACACATTTTGTTGGTAACTAATCATAACAGCATAAGACTATCAGACAAAATTCAGTTCAGTAAACTACTACTACTGTCATTTGCACATCATTATTACCTTTGGTGCCACCTTTACATACAGTAGAGTAACAGATAATTGCTGTGCAAACTTGCAACATTATTAAACTATTGCCAAACTGCAATGTGTAAAAACAATAGTGATTGGCTTAGAAAATTCATCCCTGACAATCAATGCCTCCTCTGAGTAAACATGGCCACAAGGCAATAGGAGGACCTACAGACAAACCGTCGTTCTCCAACCCAACTGACTGAAATGGCTGGATCAGTTAAACATTCTGTAATGTCTGCAGGCACCCTAACTCGTCATCACAGTGACTGTGTCACCACAAAGATTTCCTTCATTGATGGTATCTTTGGTTCCCTTTATCAGTACCTCTAGAGGTTATTAGATCTATCTATCTTTCATACCATGGCTAATGGGATAATTTTTAAAATTTACAATAAAAAATATTATACAATTTTAAATATATTTTAAATATAATAAAAATGCACAGCGTATGTATACGTATATCATAAGGCAAGAATAAATTAACTTTGAATCTTCTTTCTTTTGAAGGATTGTGAATTTCACCCCAGACATGCCTCAGGCTGATGTGGAGTATTCCCTAGCTAGAGCTTTCAAAGTGTGGAGTGACGTCACCCCACTGACCTTCACCAGAGTTTATGATGGAGAATGTGACATTGAGATCAAGTTTGTAGTTGGAGGTAACAGCGTTACCCTTTCTCAATTAATGAATGTACTGTATGTAACCATTTTAAAGGTAAATGTCTGATGCTGATTAGTGTCCCCTTACTTTTGTAGATCACTATGATAACTCTCCATTTGATGGACCTAATGGGGTGTTAGCCCATGCATTTCAGCCAGGTAGTGGCATTGGGGGAGATGCTCACTTTGATGATGATGAACAATTCACAAAAAACAGCCAACGTAAGTCTTTAGCACTGTTAAAGTGTCACCAGCAATAATTTTGAGGGCCAAATCAATGATAATTATGAGGGCTAAACCAATGATAATATGTATATTATATTATACATTTGTAATATACATTGTTATA